ATTATCTAATAAACTACAGCTTGAATGGGTCATAAAACGATTTTTGACATATCAATTTAGCCTTTTAACTATGATTATCATGCTTTCCATGTTATCGAATATTACCATTTTTATTATTTTTATCTTAGAAATTTAAATAATGAACCGACTACTAACAGCCGGCTGAATATTGAATATTGAATAACGAATAACGAACAGGCCGCTAACTTCACACGCATGAAAGTATACATGTGTTACTGCCATTGACAGATGAGTTTCAAATGAAACGAGTACATCGCGAATTTTGGAACAACTTAAACTGAATTCTGTAACAAATTTGTGAATAACATATTTCATTTGTTGATATTTTTTGTTCAAAATCTATGAATTAATATGTTTTATGCTCACTGTTGATACTTTTGTCCATACGCAAACGAATTCGCTAACCATCGCATTAGTTTCAACAGATCATATTTTATTGTGTTATGATAATACCCAGCCAGGTATGAGGCCTGTTTACAGGGCGATTTTTCACAATATTTAATCAGGTAAATAACAATAACACAAAAAACTACAAACGAGAATGTGTTTTGCAGATTGTAGTATAAAGACAAAAAAAGTGTATTGACTTGACATATCAACAATATTAAGGATTCGACCCAAAACTCGGAAAAAGCTCGAAAGAGCCCTGCATTTCCCCGTTTCTAAGCTTTATATTTATTTTATTGATATGTCAAGTCACTAATATATAATTGTCTATTCATTATTTCAAATTATTGAGTAGTGTTTCTTTACACTTAAAATAGAAAGGAAATCAGATATCCATGTACTTACGTATCTCGATAATCAAATCAATATGTAAAATAACTCAATAGTTGACAACAAAATGGCAGGTAGGATAACTTTAAAGATTTGAACATGAATTTACTTTCTTACTGAATTGTTTATAAAACAAGTTAAAAAAATAATTAGGAAATGTGTATCTGATACCAAATAATACGTATTAGCAATGTGCTAATCATGCTTTTATTACGTAGATTTGAGCACGTACATTATACATAATTGAAATCAATAAAATAATGATAAGTATCGACTATCAAATCCCATAGCCGACAGTAAACATGTATCTCTGAAAGTATGAATAACAGTGTATCTCATTATTAGTTTTGTTATGAACACAAACTGATAATAAAAAATATAATTACATTTATATTAATATAGATATACATCATGAATACAGGAAGTTTGTAGTACACACGAAGAATATGTATAACAGGCATTCAATTAGATCAAAGCATGTAATTTTACTACTTGTTTAGCATGTTTAGTGCACATGTAAAAACAAAATAGCCGTCATTGCGATATTTACAATGTTGACACAATATCGTATCAAAATCTTTAATATTGTTTTAACTCTTATATAATGTTTACATCGTTGACATCGTTAACGTCACAATGTATACAATGTAATAACGATAGAGTGTTTACATCGCGATCGATAATGAAACCAATGTCAACACCATGGTATTAACTCAGTATAGAAACATCAATAAACACGATTGCTGACACTATTGTAAATAATGTTAACGATGTCAATTCAAAGGTAAAGACTAAGTATACACTATAAGCACGATAGTGTCTCGCTATTGGCAACATCGCTATGTCTATGATGTGAACGATGTAAACACAAAGGCTTTAGCTTGTTTTACAAAATTAACAGTATGCCGACTCGCTATTGTAAACATCACAATGTATACTATGTAAAAAAATGTAAACACAAGGTACATCATAAACATTGTAAGAACTCTTATATACTGTTTACATTGTTGACATTGTTAACATCACGCGTACGATGTTGACAACGTGATCGATGTAAACACAAAGGTATTGAATCGATATGCAGTAAAAGATATCAACAGCGCGATTTCTTCGATATGAACGATGTTTACACAAATGTATAGACTTGGTATACAAAATAAACACGACGTCTACGGTGTGAACAATGTAAACACAAAGGTATATATGCTTTTAATAGATGCAATGTAATTACGATGTTGACTCGCATATGTTAACATTCTGATGGCTATGGTGTGAACGATGTAAACACAAAGGAATAAACTCCTTATACAATATAAATACCATATTAACTAGCTATTGTCAACAGCGCAATGTATACTATGTTAACAATGTAAACACAAGAAGTTATAAGAAGATGTAATATGAGTGCGAATGAGACAACTCTCCATCCAAGTCACAATTTGTAAAAGTAAACCATTATAGGTCAAACTACAGTCTTCAACACGGATCCTTGGCTTTTTCCGTACAGCAAGCAAGGGACCCAAAAATTACCGGTGTAAAACCATTCAAACGGGAAAATCTAGGCCTTATCTATATAAAAAAAACGAGAAATGAGAAACACTAATGAACCACATCAACAAACGACAACTACAGATCTTGACTTATATATACGATCCAATATAAACACAATAATGACACGATACCGTAAACATCGCGATGTTGACAGAATTGGTAAAACATCGTGCATTGGACATACTTAAATTTGCCTGGACCAATTAATTGAAACGTTTCGGAATTCTCGATTTGCAATGCTCTTTAATTCGTTTTTGATCTTTTTTTTTTTTTTTATTAAGTGCCATTGTCGAGTCTTTTGTAGACAAAACTAATGTCTGACATATCAAATTATAAGCCAGGCTCCTTTGGTGAGTCTTTAAAAACTGTAATACAGTATCCATTTGGAATGTTCGAAATAAATGGGCACTAATCAAAAAGCAGCCATCTATGAATTAATGAAAAACTCAAATGTCTTCATCTTATTTTTGAATGTTATTAAAAAACGATATGGTATGATTGCAAATGAGACAACTCTCAACAATAGACAAAATGACATAGAACTTAACAACTATAGGTCACCGTACGGCCTTCATCAATGCAAGCCCATACCGCATAGTAAGCTAATATATAATTGCAATTCTAATAATCATATACTAGCTTTTTTTCTTAACTTTACTTGAACACTATGTTTAAGTTCCCACTTAATCGCACTCCACTTTTGCAATATACACGTTTTTCTTTTTAATATACCAACCGTACTACCCTTATAGTAATCTGCATCTCAATAAGTCGTAGTATGTATGATTTCTTCACAGAATTAGAAACACAGAATGCATCAACAGCTCTGTATCGGTATCTGTGTCAGTTTATCATAGGCACAGATGAGCATGTGAAGACTATAAGATTAATAACTGCCGTGAGAGACGATTTATCAAGCGACAAGAATAGCGCAATAATCACCAGTGGCAGTCATGGAGAGGGACTTGTGACGCCGGAAAGTGATTTCGACATAATGTCAGTAATCAAATCTATTGAGGTCTGTGAAGTCATCAACGTTCACTTTAATCCTAACATAACATACTATATCATGGAAACGGAAGATACACAGCCAGGTTATACAAGGCTACGTATGGTGCATGCTAATCGTTATAGCAACATTGGAGAGTTAAGAGGCGATCATTATTTGAAAAACACGAAATTAAAACCAATCGGTGCAAATCAAAGGTTTTCGTTTGTTCATGGACCGTGTGTCACGGACAAAGATGGATTTTTTGACTATTGTTTCTGTTTACGTAGTAAAACATGGGTATCACAAGCAAAACAATGGATAAGACGATCAAAAACCTTATGGCCAGCATACGATGTGAGACAGGCTATCGTAAAACATGGTGTTCTTTTGGTACCAGTAGGTGTCAGAGGATCTAGCAATGAAGATTTAGAATGGCGAATATCATTTTCCGTTTCTGAAAAAATTCTTATCTATACGTTTACCCATACACAACTGCAATGTTATGTTCTTATGAAAATTCTTCTAAAAGACGTAATAGAGAGTGATTTAGAATGTAAAGATTTGCTTTGTTCATATTCTATGAAAACAAATATGTTTTGGATTTCCGAAGAATTAACACAAGCAATATGGAAACCAGAAAACTTGATATCTAATTTTATCAAATGCTTAACGAGACTTATATACTATGTTGAATACTCGGTTTGTCCCCATTACTTCATTCCTGAGAATAATCTATTCAAAAGTAAAATCAAAGGACTCGCACAGAAAAAACTCTTAAGTAAGCTGTATGAACTGAAAAGTTATGGCTGGCAATGTCTCACATTTTCAGATAAAATTCCAAATCTGTATTCGTTGTCCATGTTCTCATTTGACATTAACAAAGAACCATGGAATTTACGTGTCGAAAGTATAAAACAATTCTTAATTACATATATGATGATAACAGACAGTTTACCGTCGTTTTATCAATCAACATTGGCTAAAGGAATACACAGGGTATTGCAGGTACAGAGTTCAAAATTAAAATATATCTATTCGTACCATATGTCACAGTTTTATTGCAGAAATATGCATTCACAAGCATTTGAGAATATATCTGATAATAAATCTACCTATAAAAAGAACAGGTGTTATTTAAGTACTTTGTTACTTAATACACAATACGATGCAGTATCTGGATGGTTGATGTTAGCCTCGTTTTTCTATACGACGAAACAGTACAATAAAGCTATGTACATCCTTCGATATTCTTTATGTAAATGTTCACATGAAAAGATTTTCATTGGTATGAATTGGTCGCCTTTCCATTATGAACTTTTAAATCTGAATTTATTTAGGAACATGACAATCTTGCAGCTATGTAAATTTATGCTGGTTAAATGCATTAATTTTTCGAATAACATTATGATAATACCTAATGAGTTGCAGAATGGAACAGAAAGATACCTTTTCCCAACTGTAGTATATATCCATTTCCTTCGTTTTCTGTGTTATTATCAGCTACTTAATACCAAACTTTGCCAGAAATCTCTCCGAGATTTACAAATGACCATCGAATACGATTATTTCATTGCAGTTCCTTACCATACCGCAAGTTCATACGAGATCCTAGGTATCATTTTTCAATTGATGGACGACAAAAGATCAGCGAGGTAGGCGTTTATAAAATATATCAGATTGAATTCAGATCCATTGACTAATTCTGGTGCGTTGCGGAGATTGTCAATGATATGAATGTATGACAAATGTGTTTTTGATAACTGTCGACCCTCTAAAGTGTTAACTTAACAAAGGGAACGAAGTGTCTGCTGCAGGGACTATTCGCTGTCTGTGTATGTGGTTCATAACGGGGGAGGGAGTCACCGTTTTAATCAAATATATTGCTTAGTCTAAAAATGTTTGCATTTACATAAGAAATACACATCAATATATCATTTGGTTTTTTTGTACGGTAGACATTTTCTTCAGCTGATAGAATTTCAATTCCTTAAACATGTTAAACAATTTTTAGTCATTTAGCAATAATAACGCGTTGAGACATTTTTATAGTCATGAAATATATATAGAGTACACAAGATGCAATTATAATTAATACTTATATATCAATATGAAGTCTATGTACTGCTTTTGTGTCTTCTATGACTTATATGTGATCATAATCAAAAGCCTTTATAACCTGATTTGCATTGAGTTGTTTTCTTTGCTCATTTGTTTTCTGTCCCTTAATTTTTAAGAAAAAGAGGATTTAAATTTTGAAAGAATGTGTTTACGCAAGAAATGTTAAATTTCATGTTCGAAGTCTACAGATCGTCAGTCGTCGTCTTTGTTTCATTTTAGTGAATATATGTATATGAATTTAACTCTTTGATATAGTTCTTTAAGATCTCTCTTGAACCTATTAACACTTAAAAAATGCCATTTCAAACATTGTGGAACGTCTGTTCTTTTCGTGTTCTACTAGTTTTCTGTATTCAATTTTCATTGATGTATAAATAATCTTTAATTATCAATTGATTATACAATAATACATCAAAAGAAAGATAAATGTAAAAAAAGGGATTAAGTACAACAGGAAATATGTGCCACCTGCAATACATATAAACAGTAATTACAACCTGGTTCGAGTCTTTCTAAATGAAGGAACCTCACGAAATAAACGAAAACTAGTATCCTACTTATAATAATGCATTCACATTAACACAAAGAAAAAAAAAAGAGAAAGAATATTCAACTACAATTACTGTACAAGGATAATAATCAGAACTAGTATGATGCCGTAATAGAAATCTAGTTGCAACATGTTTCCAGTGGAAGGCAAACAGCAGGATGGTTCACCACAGCATTCGTCTATACACTTGTCATCTTCCCATGTACAAATAGTTGGATTGGTCTTGTAACAGCAATCAACAGGACAGTTTCCAATGGTTTCGCCATCTTCACATTGTAGATTGAAGCAGGTTTCAGGTACATTTCTGGTGCCCCGTTTTTTTCTTCTGTATGACCTCTGACAATGATATTTAAAACACTGGATATGCTTCCAACATAGACCAGGAATCTTGTAAACACTTCTTAATCCACTACTACAAAACGTTCGTTTTGTATCTTGACCACTACAACCGCCGCATTGAAATTCATTTTGATATTTACCAGCCTCACCTATCCCTCGATCTTTTCCACACGTATCACAGTAGCTTGTGCCAGAACCAGTTTGGTAAGTTTCACCATCACAATAGGGATGATAATTGGGATCATCATTTGCACAATTGTTACAACAACCATACCAGTGAACACCAGAACTTCCACCCCACTTGAACACTTGACAGTTTCCTTCTGATGGTTGATCACCAGCTCTGCGAATCTTTCGAATATTTACTATTTCTGAAAGGATAGATGAATATATCAGTACATTATACTTTGATCAATCAATTCACATCCCTTGAAGCACGATAAATGATTATGCATATCGAATTGAAATTGCATAAAGAGAAAAAATGTACATGATATCACTATTAGTTTACGACCCTTATTGGCATTCGAGATTTCATGCTCCTTCTGAACTTGTCACAGCAGTAGGAACAACAACGCGAAATGAACTATATCTCAAAATAATGTGTCTTTACGTAAAGCATTCGTGGAGGAAAAACATAAAAATACTAATCAGGACATGGGATATAATTGTCACTGAGATATCTTATCACCAATATCAAAGGACAAGCTTTTAAAAAAGAGGCGAAAGATACAAAGGCGACATTTGAAACTCGTAAGTCACAGAAAAAAAACCGCTATAGCAATTAACGAAGGCATCGGAAAGATGAGCAAGTCAACAAAACATTATTTCGAAAACTAGATACTAAACAGCTCGATCCATATCAAAAACTGGTAGTAAACTCAGATGCTCTGGAAGAATCAGTAGCTCCAGCTTCACATGTGTCACTCTTAATACAGCTCATGTTATTACAAATCCTGTTTCATTCCGTGATTTCACAATCGATAATAAAGAGGATGACATTGTTTCTCTTACAGTTGGAACATATACCAGTGGTCATCTGTGAAAGACATGTTCCATAACTGTCAAACAACTCGTGATTGGGTCCGTAAAATCTTGAAAAGATGACTTCATATTTACAACTTTGCCTTCTTCGTTCAATAACTTTCTTATAAACATCAACCTTCTACCAAAGCAAGCAATGCTAGCAAAAGGAAACATCATCTTCAAAGTCTGAACAATAAATCATTCAGTTGTTGATTAATTTTTTAAAGCTGTTTTGATTAATTAACCGTTTCAGATCAAAGTGTGTTTTATTAGTTACATGCATATGCAGGCGGTTATAGAATGTTGCTACATATTAATATGATGAATAGAAAATTCACGATTAGGAGGATGTAATTTACAAGTTTTTTTGTGACGTTTTCTACTCACCTGATCATACTTTCAGATAAGTTGGTGATGTCCTATCGTAATTTTCCCTCGATTTTACCACGGATAATTTCAACCTAGTGTATATGACACACGAGATGATTTCGACTTTTGAATTTTAAACTTCCCATTTATTAACATAGAGTCTGCTTCACACCGTCGTTCATGTCCACACTACACGGAATTTAGGATTTGCTCTGATCGTGTGCCATTTGCGATAATGACATGACATGTTGACTGAGTGTGGATTCACTTTGATTTTGATGCATGAACACGATGAAAAGCTTTCTATGTTGATAAACCAGATCCCGCTCTTCTTAAAGTTTATTTCCTGATTTGTGTCTTTATTTATATAATGTTAATGAATTCATTGGATTTAAACATCGATAAAAAAAAATAAAAAAAAAAAATACCGAACTCCGCGGAAAATTCAAAACGGAAAGTCAATGATTAAATGGCAAATTAAAAACTCAAACACACCAAACGAATGAATAACAAATGTCATATTCATGCCTTGGTACAGGCATTTTCTTATTTAGAAATGGTAGATTAAACCTGGTTTTATAGCTAGCTAAACCTTTCACTTGTATAACAGTCGCATAAAAGTCCATTATATTTACAACGATGTGTAAACAAAACAAACAGACGTTAGAGGTAAAAATGTCAAAAATAGGGGTACAGCAGTAAACATTGTTTTATAATCTTAATCCCTATAAAAGCAAACAAATATGTCAACAGAGAAAAACAAAAAGATATATAGACAGATCACATTGAAGCAAAAAAAAAAAATCAAGAATTCATAAATATCATAGCACAATTAAGCAATGATCTTTTTTAAGAAAAAGGACGAGACGTTTTTCGACATACCCCTGCTTCATCAACTTTCTTCTCATCATTGGTGATGTTTTGCAAGGTCTGAGTAGCAGCTGTAAGCTCTTGAATACTGAATGAGTTGGGAAATGTATATCCCATATGCAGGTGAAGTTGGATTATACTGCTTCTAAGGTGGGGGAAATTGATAATCTCAAAATCAAAATCGTCTCGTTTGGCATATATTCTGGTATTGAAACTAGCGTTTCCTAAAATTTCCAAGTTGCAGTTTCAATGTATTTCTCTAGGTTGCACTTTGTAAATACGGCTTTTCTCAAACCACGCTTCTTTTGGGGAGATATGTGATATTCATAGATAATTAAGTTTGTTTACGTACTGGTTCTTAGATAGGATATCTATGCTTCAATTCGTAGAGACATAACTTGGGACTGTTACCAGTAAATATACATATTCATATCAGTCGAATTGAAATTTGTGGGAAACCTATAGTCAAGGTAGGAGTAGTACAGGATTTTAGTGAAGGTTTAAACTCTTAGAAGTTCAGCGCATATAAATGATGACAATATGCCACACAGCCCTATATTTTGACCAATGAAAAAATAGAAGTGCATATGAACTTTCCATTCTAGGATATAATTTTTTTTTAAAAAACAAGTGGTACAGCTTTAGCCGTAAAAGGAGTTCCTATGGGAAATTGCATTGTCAATATTTACAGAACTCCAACCTCTAATGTGATCAAATATTGAAAAATTTAAGCTAGATTAACGAAAGATTGTATGCATTAAACATATGAAGCGTGCATCATAACAACAAAATGTCCCGCCTTTTATTAAAGTAATTAATGTAGCAGAAGTGAGTTGATAAAATGACTGTCAATGAAGAAAACGTTTTTTTTTTGTTTATAAAATATGATTTGAAAACGGCTTCCGATAGTGCTGAAAGTGTGGTTAAACACAAACACTCAATTAATCGATCAATGAATTGAATACGTAGACTTAAAAAAAATGGCAGTTTGAATCAAACTGGTTTTAACATTGTGACAATGGTTATCAAACTGTGGTGATCTGTACTTAAAAAAGTGAAAAAAATATGAAATCCATTTGCTAGATCAGTCAAACATTTGTAAATTTAATATGAGGTCATTATAAGTGCTGTTTCAAAAAAGGTGAGTAATAAAAGATGTCAGCCCATTTCTAAAAAGCATAATTCTATTTTTGAAAGTAATCATAAATTATTTAATGGCTTATGAGATAACATGTTTAATCTGTCAATATTCTATTTTTTGCTAAATATATGATTACGATTTATTGTCAAAATTAAATCGTAAAAAATGTTACAAAAAAATAAAAGGCACAAAATGTGTCAATTGTCAAAAAAATGTTTACGAGAAAAAAAAGAAAAAAAAACAATATCCTTTCTTAACTTAATCTGTAGGAAGGGCAGTAGTTGTCTTTTTATAGTTTTGACGAAATTTCAATATTTGTATGGTAGCTTATTGTCCATTTGATGGATTTAAGCAGAAGTCAAATAATTGGTATAGAGATGACCTCCACAAAAAAAAAAAAAAAAAACAACGGTAAGCAGCAAAAGCTCCTTTACATGGTTCTCTCAGTCAGTTCTAGTGTGGTATATTGTTGTACTTGTATATAAATGGAAGTTTGTCGGTTGTTATTCTATGGTTGACGAGTTGTAATATACTGTCATATATCATTTATTTATGTAGTGCTCTGTCTTAAACATGTTAAGTGTTCTGGCGTTTATTTGTACTGTTTTCCAGTCATTTAATGTGTCATTTAAGCGGTATTTTCAACATTTCCATTAAACCATGTTTAATCCACCATTTTTTCTTGAAACGTCATGTATCGAGTCAGGAATATGGCAGTTGTTATCAAAGAGTCCGTTTCTACGTATGTCGACGTTTTTTTTTTGTAGCAGTTCAGTGTTTTTGTTTTTCCGTTGTTTTCCTCCTATAGTTGATGTGTTTCTCTTGGTTTTAGTTTGTGACATAAATTTGTTTTCGCTTAATCGATTGATGACAATTGAACAGCGGTATACTACTGTTGCCTTTATCATGTTTTTTTTTTTTATTTTGTTATAAATTTATGATGGCGGTTTGTTGTCAATATTAAATCGTAATGAATGTTGCAAAAATCAAAGCACAGAATGTATCAATTCGTAACTTATCACTGACTTGAAACAGCTTAACGAGTCTTTTAGTCACTTTTATTGATTAAAACTGTTAAAGCATCAGATGTGACTGCAGTAAATATAGTTCTTACTATTTGTGTCGGTGTGTTGAAAAAAAAAGAAGACAAATTTTGAATGGCTATACATCAATCTTTATTCAGCATGAACACAATAAATGTTATTGGAACTGTAACAAAGTTTGAATTATAGATGACGGAATCTCAAATTATGTATCATGTCCCTATACTTAACGTTGATGTTGAATAGGGAGAGGCGTCAATTTTCGGGATATTGTACAATTTTTGAAAGTTTATACTTTTTTTTTTTAAATTTGATATGAGGGCTATTTATAAGGATGTGTTCATAAAAAAAAAAGTTTGCTCCATGTGGGACACATATTTTGAAATATCTTAAGATAAGTTTGAAAAAACGATATTGAACAAAACTTTCATAATTTCGTGATAAAATTTTCCCTAAAAGACCAATTATTCAAATTTTGAATTGCAATATGATTAATTCGACCCTGCAGGAATGACCGATTTCTGTCTTGTTATGTTTCTTGTAACCGTATATAAACAAACAATAACTTAAAGACAAGTTGGTTCATGCAAATGGTAAACGCTATTTAGATATATATTTTATATAACCGCATTGTCTTGTTATTGTTTGTTCAGTACAATTTTTGGCCCATTAAATATGTGCATTTTAGCATTTTATAGATATGACAGATCTTTTGAAGGATTTCGTTATGTTTATCCGATTGATTTCCGAAAAAAGTGAAAATTTTATAAACAATATTTTGCAAAAAGGTATTTAAATTTGTTATCAAGGTGCATAAACTAGACTAAATGACACCAGAATAGATGGCACTAGTATATTCAGCGTAATGTGAATTAATTTAAATATACAAACACGGAGAAAAACTTGAGGATAACATAGAGTACTCAAGGTGATTAGTAATGAAGAATAATGTCATGCTCTGCCAACATATCAGATTGGAATACTGGATTAAGCTAGCATTTAATTCCAAATTTGCCTTAAATTAATCTGGGATTTTATCATAATCATGATAATGGTTAAACTATTACAATTTAAAAGCCATTCATTTTTGTTGGAAAAACGCATCACCTTATTTTAGAGAAAAACAATATTTATTTTTAGCGATTTAACTTCTGAAACAAAGCCGTTATAATCTATAGATATAGAATAAATCTATAGGTATAGAATAAACACAATCAGGTATTAATGCTAATGAGAAAACTCAACCAGAAACTAAACAACATAGATATTTACATCTAATGACCGAAATATGGCCTTCAACAATGCATAACATTTAAACCGCATAGTCAGCTAAAATAACCTATATACCGTATAGCGGGTTATTTTCGCGGGGTGTTTATTTTCGTTTATTTTGGCGGGTCAAGGGGAATCGCGAAAATAAATTCCGCGAAAATCTATGCATACGTTCGATACTTTCTAATAGCTAAAGCTTTTTGTAAACAATCTATTTTCCCGTTCGACGGATCAATAACGGTTAATATTAATTTAAACAACATAAATGACATAGGCCATTGTTCACTGGCTATCAGTTGTTAATTAGTTTAATTTATTGGTTACATAATAAAAAAATAATGATAATATAGGAGTGTACAGTACGCTTGTCAGGTATTTTATCCTTATTAATTATTGTCAAATTATATAAGAGTTGCTAGTCACTCATGATAATTTTATAATTTAATTAGTACACCAAAGGTCAGGTCAATTTCGTAACTTATCAACCGCAATATTCACAAGACGTTTGTACAAAGAAAAAAAAAAGAAAACGGTATTCTATTGATTAACTGTATCAAAATATAATCAATAATTTTACTTATTGATTATATTTTGATACAGTTAATCATGCATGTAAATCAATCATTTTACCATAAAAAAAAGACCCTTTTTAATCAATTTTTACAACTTTTTGACTACAACCATTTCAGTATCCGCCAAAATATTTAATTGGGATTATAGAATCCGCCAAAATAAAAACCGCCAAAATTTTTTGTATACTTTGTTAACCCTGAATCGCGAACTTTTACACCCGCGAAAAAAAACCCCACTATACGGTATAAGGATTACTGCATTAAAGCTGAAACATAACAATATACTTAAAGTTGCTTACTTATTTGGGTTTTCAACAACCTTCACTCGTTATACAGCCCTTGCACGATCGGTATTTATTTAAGGTGGTATGATTGTCTTCCTCCATCTTGAATTTTGAAGTAACAGATAATAAATTGTCTAAATCTTTAATGGAATGTGCAAATTTTGAGAATAGTTTGTTATTCATGTGTAAGAATTTTATGATACTTTTTTCTGTTTGATTTAATTTTTTCGACTTTGCCACATAAGGGCAGATAACTAAGATAGAAGGGGAGATAACTCAGGACATTTATTACTTAGATAATAAGAAAAGAGCACCTTATACATGTTATATATAAGTAAAAAAATACAGTAAAACATACAGATAGAAAGGAGAATTAAAACAAAACTTATAGTATTCATAAATATGAGTACTTAAATGTAGAAGAAAGAAATATACATGTTTTCAATAGTTATTTCATTGACCTTTAGGCTGATATAATGCTTTTGAGTATCATAATAAATAGTAAAATGAACGTTTGATACCTAAATTAATCATTTTGAGTCAACGGTTACTTTGTTTGATTTATAAATGTATTTATTAAAATTTCATTGATATTACATCTATTTGGTAAGAAAGGACTTATAAGAAAATGTTATCAATCTTGATTTAGAAATTTAATATTTTCTGTTTACTTCTGAAATGAACTTCGGTTCATAATTAATATCTATAGAAACAAATCAATAAAATAACAAAAAATTTTAAAGTGTAATTTTTATACTTAAATAACTTAGGAATTCAATATTTTTGGTAAACGACAGAACGAAATTTTTTTTATATTCCGAATGTCTAGTATCAATGGCATCAACATATCTAAATATAAGAAACGATGCCTTAAACTATTCTTTTTTCAAAAAAGTACAATTTAAGTAGATACATTGTAGATCAATAAATATCAAAATTGTAAGGAAAAAAAGTAATTTGCTTAGATAAACATATCTGTAATATTTTCAGATTCAGATGTTTGCAAAGATTCATCACGGGGAATGCCATATCTTTGTGACCCTTTGACAAGAACGGAGTTAAAAACCAATATCATTAGCAAAGCGTTGCACAAACATTTCACCATATTTAATTAGCAAACAGTAATATGTTTAACTGTTTTAAAACGTTTTATATTTAAAACGTTAAGTTTTGGCAGGTAGTTTTTCAAACTTTTATGTTCTTTGGTCTTATTAACCTCCCGAGTATGACTAATAGTTCAATTTAAAAACAACTTTGTGGAAGAAGTGATTTCTTAACATCGTTTTGTGATCTTTAACAAAATCAACAGTTTGAAGCAAACATGCTTGTTCCTGATGTAACCTAACACAAATTATATGTTAAATCTAGCAATTAGTTTCACAAGTACTGAAAAGGGTATGCAACAATTCAATTGCAAATGAAGTGTTTTTCAGTATGACTTTAATCAGATTTGGTCCAAGATATTGGAAAGCTTACAGTTATACAAAAAACAGTAAAAGGTAAATACGGTCTTGTTAACTGTACAATCTAAATGTGCATAATAACATGCAAGACACATGTATAAAACTGCTTAAAACATTAAGAATATACTGGTCGAATTGGAGTTGAAGGCATTTACTTTTCACTGTGTTCATTTTCCATTGCTCGGGGGTGCCGGAGTGTCGGCGGATAACCGCCGATATCTGTCATGAAAACTGGCAATCTCAGTCAACATAGATTTGAGTCGAATGCAATACAAGTGTTTGGCAGAAAAAAATTCCCGTTGCAGAAAAAAATCAATTGTTCATGGGTTTTGAACTCATCTGCGATATTATTAAGGCGTATTTGAAACCTTTGATAACAAAATGATTAGTCTCCAATAAGAATGGTTGCACGAGAACACTGATAATGTCGATTTCCATATACTGTACATTTTATAGGAGGCAAACATTGTGTTTCTCTTGAGTTAACGATCGACCTGATTTAGAACTCGCAAACTCGCTCAAAATATTGCTAATATACAACCTTAAAATCATGTTTGTCAAAATCTGGGAATAACTATAGTTGTGAGATCATGCACGAATACTTACTAAGGGATCTCATTACTTCGAAATCCTCCATTTCTTTACGAGACTTTATATATCAGATACAGATGTAAAGTTAGTTATAGAATCATGCTTTGGGATAAACTGCTGCTCATTTAAAAAAGAGAAGATTTTGACAGGAGTCATCGAACCAGTTTAATCTAGTCACTAAAAAAAACTGAGGACGTACCTTTGAAAGATCTTGTAGAATATGATGTTCTGTTAAAATGAATTGTACGCCATCCTGTTCCGCTTTCATTGCTTACACATTGGATAATCAATCCTATAAAAATGTAGAAAGTATATTGTAAATTCATCTTCAGTGCAGTGAAAATAGAAAGCAAACTAACATCATTTAAACCCTAAACGTTGTCAAGAAGTTTTGAGATAGTGATCTTAATTTACGTTTGTGTTCGAATGAACTAGATCTGTCAAATACAATTTAAATGTCATTTATTGAATGAAAATACTTTTAACATTGGTAAAATTGTCCTTGAAATTAAACTCGCAACGATATGCTATAAGTGTTCTATTTTTAATGAATAAACACAATCTTAAAGTAAAGTCTGTATAATTGGCCGGTATTTTGGATTGTTATGATCATTTAAATTCATTGCGAACTCACTGAACTACAAGTGCATGTCGAAAAAAATGTACATACAGCTAAACAAGTCTGTACAAAATGTGAAAAATATCAATTTATATAGACCGTTCGTTTAAAGTGGCGAAACATAGTGTATGTTGCAAATTCTAAAACTTCCACCTGCAGGATTGTCCAAGAAATAATAAGATTTTTAATGAATAGCGATATTACTTTTCTTAAACAGGAATTAAGAATTCTAAGCTATACCTTTACACTATATAAAATTATTTCACCACTATTTTAAACACTTTCACGTACAGTTAAAATTTGGATTTAATATTTATGGATTGACATAACATAACCATTGAATTATGTTTCCTGAGCAATTTTGTTACAGAATATTCTCTTTCTGAATCGATCTTTAAAGTGCCATTCAGTTCAATAGAAATCGGATATTTTGATAAGAAAAGCTCTTTGAAGACTGATTTATAAACTGTCAAATCATTGCAGTCGTTCAGTCATTTTTTTTAAATCATCCACTGCGTTGAATTCAGTACAGTTTAGATAATATGCAATCAATGAAGATCCGTTCAGATCAAACTTTTAGTAGTTGACATTTACCTACACACCAATATCATAGTGAATTGTCTTTAAAGATACGGAACAGAGTCTTTCCCTATTTTTGGACGGGAATACTCTTTTGAACCCTTTCTTTCGATGTGCTTATTCCCTACTCATTAGTTATGCCGTTATCTGTAGTCACATTTAGATTTTGATAAACTGTATCTATGTATGACTGGTAAATTCGGAGATTTCGTTACCACAAATTACTTACAACATCTGCCAGAAAAGCACCTCGGGTGCACCAAATCTATGAAGTGTTTATTTCATTCAGTTTCGAAATGTGTGTTTTCTTATCTTTCATTTTTGCTGATGTGGTTTGTCTATATGCTTTTGTGTGTTTCTTTGACACATATGACGTGTAACTGTTCTTATACATCCCGGCATTGTATTATTGTGTAATGGTAAATTTTTGTATTCTTGTCTTTTGATGTTTGCTGATGTGCTTTGTCTATATGCCTTTTTGTGCTTCTTTGTTACATATTTGTTTGTTTTTATAGTGATTAAGATTGTGACACAAGGTTGACTGCTGTACCCCTGTTTTTGACATTTTTATCTATCGTAATGACACAGAAATTATTAACTATAGGTCACCGTACGCCCTTCAACACTGAGCAAAGCACATACCGCATAGTCAGCTATAAAAGGCCCCGAAATAACAAACGTAAAACAATTCAAACGAGAAAACTAACGGCCTAATTTATGTACAAAAAATGAACGAAAAACAAATATGTTACACATCAACAAACGACAACCACTGAATTACAGCCTCCTGACTGTGGACAGGCACATACATACAGAATGTGGTGGGGTTGAACATGTTAGCGGTATTCCATCCCTCCCCTAACCTGGGACAGTAGTGTACAACATAAGAACGAACTATAAAAATCAGGTGAAAAAGGCTCAACTCATGTGTCTGTTTGTTTTATTCACACATCGTTGTCAATGTAACGGAATCTGATGAGACTGTCATACAAGTGAGAGTTTTAGCTTGCTATAAATTCGGGGTAGATCCATCATTTTCTATATGAAAAAATGCCCGTACCAAGTTAGGAATATGACAGTTGTTATCCATTCGTTTGGTGTGTTTGAGCTTTTGGTTTTGCCTTTTGAATTAAAGACTTTCCTTTTTTGAATTTTCCACGGAGTACAGTATTTTTGTGATTTTACTTTTTTAAAGGAATATAATTGGCAGTAATTTTGAGTATCTAGTTGTCTTGTGACTTTTGCTATGTATTCATTATTTTTGTCGGTGATGCTGGTTATAGCGCCAGTGTATCTAGGTGCTAATAATGTAAAATAATTGATACGTTGAGTACACTAATTATTCGAGGTTATTTTAACGCTGTAGTCAGATTATATTTTCTTTATCGGTACAAACATCGATTTTGCTTGTAATAAATCTAAGCATTGATCAATGTGAGCTGCTAAACAGTAATGAAAAAATACAGTTCTTCATGTTGTCAATACAATGGCTGCGATCTAGTAGCTTTCGGTCACTTCTATTACTCTTATATCGATATTCTAATTCTGATCCGTGTTGTCAGTAGTTCTGGTGCTTTGATGAGCAAAAATCTTTCTAAATAATTTTAACTTGTGCTGTTTCTTCGCTGTCCAAGGATAGGATAGTGTTGAGAAATCACAAACATGTTAATCCGTGTCTTATAACATATACATATGCTTGTTGAAAGTCAGGATCCTATAACTAATTAATTGTCGGTTGGTTGATTTTTGTCGTATTTAATTGTCTTTGACAGTTTTAGTCGTAATCAGGCTGATGGTGTCCTCGGTTGAATATTTTAAATTGTTTTAAAGCCTGGGCCTGTTATAGCATATACTACAGTATAGTTTTTTTTTAATTGTTGGAGGCTTAACGGTAACTTATAGTTGTTTACATCAACGATGAAAGATATCTCATTGGCACTCATAATCTATAAAAGAAAAAGATTTCAGAGTGATTACATTTTTACAACAATAAGTTGTACCGACAACTAATAAAAGAAAAGAAAAAGAAGAGATTAAGCTTATCTTGTTGATCATTTACGATTTGACAAAAAAAAACCAATATATATTTAAATGCTTCAGAAAGGCGTAACTATCCTTTCCTCGTAATGTTTTTTATCACACTGTATCCGATGATAAGAAGCATGTTTTATTATTTATCTTTTTAATAAAAACGAAAATAAATGTTTGTTTTTAAATCTTTGTATTAGTCGCGGATAGAAAGGTTTCCTTTTTCTGTTGGTATGTGTGTCCGTCATTCCACACGTCATTCAAAAACTACAGAAAATTTCCATCAAATTCCTTTAAACTTGTATTAAATATTTGAAGGAAACATATTTAAAAAAAAAACTGTTTGTAATTCAAAAGGATAGCGAATATTAACTGTCATATTTTTGCAAATATCAGGCACTCATACATCGACAAGTTTTCTTTAGAAGTCATCTTGTCGTTGCAATTGCTGAAGATGTGGAATTTAGAATAAACAAACATACAACAATATATTTCTTCATTTTTTACTGCGTTAGAAATTCAAAGAAGACTAATATTATATTTCTATTAATAGTACTTGCAAATACTTAACAGTATGATCATTTGTTTGTTTTTATATATTTGTATATATAAAGAGTAAATGCAAATGACTATTTAAGACTTTGTGCTATGAGTAATTATACATTTTAAAACATGTTCCAGGAAACAATTTGGATAACAATCAAGTCATATCTAAGACCAGTATAAATGGATTAATGTTCTTGCTGAACTTTGGCTAATCAAAAAAGTAACACAAAAAACCCGAACTAATCTTAAATCGTAAACGATTACCAAACCACAAATTTTTTCAACGATGTTTGCGTTGCTTCCGTTATTATATTGGTCGGTTTGTTTGGTAATGTTTCAGGTTATTTGCATTAGACAGAAACAAAATGAATGCAAAATCGGCAGATGAGATCTTGGAAACTGCAGATATTGTTTGCTACATTTGTATCTTTGATTCTTAAGACTTTGTCGATGATACGTTTTGTTAGATATTTAAATTCTAAAAGACAAAAACAAAGCTTCAGTTTTCATTATATGATGATGGTTGGTATTTTATTAGGTTCTGTTGGATATTATTCATAAGTTATTTCATCATATTTACATTATTGAAAATTTCTAACGTTAATTAACCTGCCATTCAATTAGTGAGTATTCAACTGATTTTTTATAGTTTGTTTTTACGTTGTAATGGTAAACCACTGTTACAGGTGAAATAGAAGGTTGAGCGCTCACGAATATGTTGAACCCTTCCACATGCTGTAAGCGTCTGTCCCAAGTAAGGGGCCTGTAGTTAAGTGGTAGTCGTTTGTTCATGTTTGTCATATTTGTTTTTCGTAAGCTGTTTTGTTATGAATAAGGCCGTTCGTTTTCACAATTGAATTATTAACTATTTTTATATCGGGGTCTTTTATAGCCGACCAAAAGGTATGTGTTTTTCTCATTGTTGAAGGCCGTACAATTGCCTATAATTTTTTACATTCACTTAATCTTAACTTTGGTCGATAGTTGTGTCATTTCAATCATACCACATTTCCTTATTTTTATATTTAGTGTTATATGATTATGAACAATTAAGGCAAGGCGCTAGAGAGTAAGTTCGTCTTGTACTGTCAATAATCTAATATTTGCAACTGGATTGATGAAAGTATTGACAACATATTTGTTGAATTTGGACGTTGACTTTTTCAACAAACTGTCGTAATTCCTAAGGAAACGAACTGTGCGACTCTCGCTGTCGACCTCTTTTTTTTTTGTATATGAGTCGGAGTTCCTCCAAACACTTGTCCTAAGCAAGAAGATCAAAGAAGCCAGATCATTAAAATTTCACATTCATATACAGTCGAACCTCGTTGTGTCGAACTCGGTTGTGTCGAAAACTCGGATGAGTCGAAGTAATTTCTCGGTCCCAGTAAAATTCCCGTTTGATCAATGCATAATAACCTCTGATGAGTCGAACTCGGTTGATTCGAATACTCGGTTAAGTCGAGTAAATTTTATAGTCCCTTCGATGTAAAATTCATGTAAATTGACCACGATGACTCGAAGTTCGAAAGTAAGAATTTTCAAAAGATGCAGACCTAATGATAAAAATTCAAATCGGATGTTTTTCTTATGTTACCTAATCATTTTCAAAAGTGATTAAAGCTGAGTAAACATAC